AGTCCTAAAATAAGCCCTTCAACAATTTAATTTTACAGTTCCAAGCAATGCTGCTGTTACATGAATGACATTGTGGGATTTACATTTGAAGTCTAAAATGGTAAAATGAGATTACTGATAAAAACAGGTTTTAAGATGAAGCATAGTAATTGAGTTTGGCTCTCTTATGGATGAAATATTATGTGATCAATAGATTATTATGGTTTGTAGTAGTTAAAGTTTCATCTTACAGAAATAATCTATGAACAAATTAGTAGAATATAGGGTTGCAAATCTCGTGTTATAGTAAACAATGCCTATTTGGCATTTTACAGACCGTGTGAACTCTGGCAATAAGAAAATACTGATTAGTGCAGATCTAGATGAGTAATTGATTTTAACAATTGATCTTTTATTTTTCTCATTTTGCATTAGTACCATACTGCCAAAAACAAAAAAGTGAAATACACTGGCATGCTAGTGGCTGTTCATGTGGCCAATGAACAGCCACACAGATCTGAGAAATCGGGTTTGCAACACTGTCTTTTTCTTTTCAGCTCCTCTCCAAAACGCCTCCTTCATACTCAAAAATCCACTGGTACACTTTGCCGTTCCTCTCAGGAAAGATATTTGGCCACCATGCTAAAGCAAGAAGAAGTATTAGATTTTTAATTAGAAATTAAAATAGCGACAGAGAGATGGCCAGGCTTGCAACTTCGCGAATGCGGCTGTGGCTTGGGCACAGGACACGACAGCAGCGGGCTTCACCGGGGCACTGCAGAGAGACGTCACCCACTCAGGAGATGCCAGAGCTGCTCGAGTCTTTTTACTTGCATTTTCTTTACATAGTTGGCAAAAGCTATCTGGTGATTTTTAACTTAAATTATTAACTGGTTTGGGGACGAGTTAAACTACATTTGCCTGTAAGTAAGTTTCACCATTAAAAAATAACTAGCTGAGCTCTACTTTAAAGCTGCTGCTATTTTTATCTGAGAAATCCAGGGAGTCCCCGCCTGCTGAGATGCCACGTGAGCTGAGCACCGTCACTGTGCTGCAGTGAGAGTCTCCTCCACAAATACCATCTGGCCCATGCAACCTACCCCACAGCTGAGCACTTCCCCATAGCAGAGACACAGGTGATCCATTCAAGGTGAGACTCACCATGTCCATGGAGGAGGAGATGCCACCCCGCACGGAGGAAAAGGACTTGGGAGTGCTGGTCAATGAGAAGCTCAACATGAGCCGGCAATGAGCGCTGGCAGCCCAGAAAGCCAACCGTATCCTGGACTGCATCAAAAGAAACGTGGCCAGGAGGTAGAGGAAAGTGATTCTGCCCCTCTACTCTGCTCTCGTGAGACCCCACCTGGAATACTGCATTCACCTCTGGAGTTCCCAACACAAGAAGGACATGGAGCTGCTGGAGCGAATCCAGAGAGGGCCACGAAGATGATCCGAGGGCTGGAGCACCTCTCCTATGAAGACAGGCTGAGAGACTTGGGGCTGTTCAGCCTGAAGAAGAGAAGGCTCTGGGGTGATCTTAGAGCAGCCTTCCAGTGCTTAAAGGGGGCCTACAGGAAAGCTGGAGAGGGACTTTTTACAAGGGCGTGTACTGATAGGACAAGGGGCAATGGATTTAAACTGAAAGAGGGGAGCTTTAGGTTAGATATAAGGAAGAAATTTTTCACTCTGCGGGTGGTGAGGCAGTGGAACAGGTTGCCCAGAGAAGTTGTGGATGTCCCATCCCTGGAAGTGTTCAAGGCCGGGTTGGATGAGGCTTTGAGCAACCTGGTGTAGTGGAGGGTGTCCCTGCCCATGGCAGGGGGGTTGGAACTAGATGATCTTTGAGGTCCCTTCCAATCCAAGCCATTCTATGATTCTATGATATACATCCTGCATTTGGAGTGGGCAAGATCTGGAATCTGGGCTCTGTGGCTCACGAGGTTGTGCTTTGTCAAGGTGCTCCAGGGCGAATCTGCTGTAGCCCAATGCAGTTAAGGGCTGGCACTGAAGGAGGGCAGTTTGACAACACTCTCTATGTAAATATCCACTTTTAGGCATCCTAGAAAAAAGCAATGGCTAGTTTTTCAGCTATGACTCAATGACCATGTTTTACCAGCTGCGCTGTTAAAGGTGGAGCTCTCACAGAAGGTAAAGACTTCCCTAGCCGTAAGGAGGCCTGAGGCAGCCAGCCCCCTGTTCTTGCCCATGGCAAATTTGTGATTATCAGAAATCTGCAGCCACACAGTTAGCTCCCTTTTCAACAGTTTACAATACTGCTGCTTTTTGTCAGCTTGTTTCATTATAGCACTGAATTCAGCATTGTAACTGAAGACATCTCTGCCTTTATACCTGTAGGTCTATTAACTTAAGGCAATTACTCTGCAGAGAGGTGACAATTCCTTTATAGAAGTTATTGAATTCTGGTACTGCAAACAGTGCATCAATAATGAAAGGCTAGTAAGAGAGCACAACGTACCTGCATTGTCCAGAAATATAATTTTTTTATGGACTATATCATCTGACAGATAATTTAGTCCTGGAAATTAGACATCAATTTTTAATAATATTTAAATTTACTTTTCAAGGAAAATTAAAAACATGAGCTACTAATTACTGGCTTGACTGAACAGGAGGGAAATTGGGAAGAGGAGGTGAAAGGGAATGAAAACAAGGGTCATTGAGGTGTCTCACTGGAGTTCGCTGACCTTTAGAAGAACTCCCAACTGATTAGTAACCTTGAACATTGATAAATTAGATAATATTCACTCAAGCCATTCTCATTTTTTATTTAGCAGAGAATTCCAGCTTCGTTCAGCAGTATGATTTCTGTTCTTTACATTCATGTAACACTGACTGTCTCTCCAAGGATTTGATTCAAGGTTTAGCTAGTATGTTATGTCTCAATTCTCAGCTTTTTAGCCTGTTTCACAGTGTATTGCACTGTGCCTTACCTACTTACAATAGCAGAATGATCCTACAATACTCAGGTCAGGGTGTGCAACAAAAGGAAAGAGATGCTTGTTTTCCATCTATACACCATTTTCGTTTTGATTAAAAGCTGGGATTAAACACCAGTATTACTCTGCCTTCGAGAAAGGATTGAGAAAAAAATAGAGATAATTTTCCTTCCAATTCTCATATCTGTTATGGGTCTAAATCTGATGTTGGTGGATGCACTGAACCAGATTAAGGGCAGGGACACTTACCTCACCCATAATTTATCTATTCATGGACCCAAAATGGGGATGCTTACAACTGTTTTGTGGATAACTGCTCTTCTCTCTGCCAGCACCACTGCTTTCCTTCAGAGCTTTCCACAGCCTCTGCCAGAGCCCAAGGATTCTGCCCTTGAAAAATGTTCGCCCTTTTCAAAAAAAGAGAAGTCTGGTCTTCATGCATTTCCTATGTTTACCTTATACCTATTCTTCAATGAAACTGAAGTGCAATTCCTAAACAGTAACATCTTCTGCTAAACCTTCTCTCAGAAACAGGCAAGCAGCTGTCACCAAAATCCACTGAAGATGTGCCTCTGCATCCGAAAGGAAAACATGACCTCTTCACAATTAGTAGCAGGCAAGAGAACACTGCAGAGAAAGCAGCTTCTTTTTCAAGGAGCCAACACTCTTCTTTAAAAACTGCAGCTTGCCAGGAACTCGACAATTCAGTAAAACCCTTGAGTACCTGTTATTTACAGACTAGGTGAGGGAAAAGGTTTATTTGGTCTGAAAATCTTCACAGCTTTAATGGTCCAATGTAGACTATCAATTCGGGGGGGTTGCATTTTTTTCAGATTTTTAATGTCTTGGTGCGGAGAAGGGATTTGGAGAAGTACTGCCTGGCATCTCTTGTAGTCCCTGCTCCATAAACATCCAATACTCAGCAGAGACTAGGGCTCAAAGGAATGCCTACCAGCTACATATAGTTGCATGGCATTCCTTTGATCTCCTGCTGTACATGAAACACAATGAAGTAGCATCTGTTTGCAGGAATATAATTCCATTTTGTAAAAAGCATATATATGGACTTCTCTTATAAATGAACAATGCACAGTGGTAATATTGATGGAAGATTTGCCTGTCCAGGTTGCATGACAATCTTCTGAAGTGATAAGAGAGATGCTGAAGAAAAGCAAGAACATGACTACTGGAGTATTCAAAAGATGCTGTCACCTTGGGCAGTTTCCTCCTCTCCTGTTTTGCCTCCACTGTTTGTGATGCATTCCTCACAAATTCAACCTTTTCAGCCCATAATTTGTAAGCACTGCTTTATTCTTCATTTCTCTTTCAGAATAATATGGCTTTGGTCACGTAGCCTCTTTTTATTTCTTGTCCCAACAGTACAGTATTGAAAATAGGGTTTGCATATTGAAGTGATCCCCGTGCATTAAGATATTTCACACAAACAACTAAACCAGCTGTGGAGCTTATGGAAAGTCAAACCAACCCGGGGCAGGTAGAGAGCAGGAATCTGGAGAAGATCCCATGTAAGTCTGAACACACAGACACACACACACACGATGGCATCTTGCTGGCACGTAGGGCCTGATCTTTAGGCACATGAATTGTTCTGTTCAATCCACTGTAGTGACTCAGATGTATGAAGCTATTTATGTATTCTCAGAAGAATAACAAAGATAAGACATGATAGGCATAAGGTTGTGCTGGGCAGAAACTCCCACGTATAGAGGAGCTAGAATGGTGATACTCCACCAGTATTGCCCAGCTGCTTAGGCATGCTGGCAAAGAAGGAACGGTAACAACACGCACGAAAATGGCATCCTTGAAAAGGAAAGGAGGCACAAACAGAAACCTAAGGTAAGAGAAATATTTATTTAAATTTGCACAATAACAAGCTTATACTGAACAAGTTCAATCAAGAAATAATAGTAAGTGCAGTAAAACAAGGAAATATTGATGACTTTTCCCATCAGAAAACATTAAGAAGCCATGCCTGTGCATCACTGTTTTTCTTTTTTCTTTTTTGTTTTTACAATAACTTCTATCTTTTTTTTTTTTTTTTTTTTTTTTTTTTTAAAAAACTTTTTTTTTTTTTTTTTTTTTTTTTTTTTGTAGCGCACATTCTGTACATATCACATCTTAGCTGCTAGGTTCTTTATTCCTGAAGGCTTCATCCTTTTAGTCAAACATCTGCTAAATTCTGCAGTGAGCAATCAAACACATTTGTGCAGATCCAAATATAAGTAGGCAAAAACCTCTGCATCTGGTCAAGTGTTGGACTCTCAAAGCTTCGGAAGACTCCGTAAGAGCTCCTAGTTGATTTTGGATCTTGACATCATTATGTACAGCATTACGTGTCACTTTACATTAACCTAAATATTCTGCGTAATGATGTCAGACAGACAAATAGCCAGAAGATTTGGGCCTAACCTCATACAAAGGTTTAAACATCTGAGCTTGTCTTGAGTCCCATAAATTTCACTCTGATTCAGGTAACTGAGTTCATCACATATCTGCACTTTAGATGGACAAAACCAATCTAATTTTAGTTTTAATTTTGTACAATTTTTGGTCTAAAGGTCTTTTTTGTGAAGGAAAATTCTTTAACCAGAAACTGCTTGTGAGAGGTGGTTGTTGGTGTCACAGTTCCTGAAGGCACTGTGGGTCCACTGAGCAACAGACGTGGCCATTCTAAAGGAAGGAAAAACAGAAAGAAGAATTGAAACAATTAACATTTTGTACAAACCAAGTAAACTTAACAAGATCAGCCATTTTGAAACCCTCATTAGATTTGAATGTACAGATTTGTAAAATACAGGACATGTATAGATTTTGATCGGATTTGTGACATTGTCGTCATGCCCTTTCCTTGCCCAAGGGAATGGGCTATTATGATTCCTCTAATTGCTTGGGTTGCTGTGGTCTGTATCCCAGAGCTACACAGTCGAACTGAAAGAAGCTGAGATCAGTGGAAGAAATGCTCTGGACATAAAGGCATCAGGCATCTGCCCAAGTACACACAGCTGTTGAACAAGACAGGGCACTTGGGAGTTTTATTTAGATCAGGCAGAAGGGACTCTGGGCTTTATTTAGCCCTGAATGCTTCAAGTTAATACATCCTGGCTGCTAACACCAGCAAACATTAATCCACAAAGTTTTTGCTGATAGTCCAGACATTCTTCCGAGAATATTAGCAATTAACGGAACAGATTGCCTATGGACATCATTAAAATACTTGAGAAACTGTTTTCTGCTTCTCTACTACTTCTTTTCTTTAGTCTGATACTTACAATGCAAATAAAAAGTGTGTATTATTTTTAAATTACTCCAAGTACATTCAGTTAACTAAACTGCCCAGACTGATTAAAGATTGAGGTCTGAATCATTCAAACATTTTCTTTCACTCCTTCTGTTACAGGAGGTTAGACAATCCCACTGGTCACCTTCTTTACTTGTGATTTGAAATGGTTTTGTGGCTAAGCCAGCTTTAGCTGATGCCCGGTTTTCTGAATGCTTAAAGGATTTGTGTAAACCTATTTTGCTATAGCTTGCTTAGAGAGGCTTAGGCTGGAGCTTTGACCTTCCATGTGATGCTCTGTAAGAAGAGTGGGATGACACAGGACGAATGAGATGGAGAACTATACAAATTGGGCACAGTATTAAGCTGATCTGGAGGGAGTGGGCTGCTTGCATGCAGAACTACAACATTAAAATGCTGCCAATATGAGCAGATAGTGCATTTCAAAAAGAAAACTGCTCTGTAAAAGGAATTGAGTAAGGTTGGGCTTGCTGAGGGACAAAACAGTACATCTTCACTGTTACACAGATTCACACCTGAGCTGTATTAAATCTATGGGGTTTGGCAGAGTGTCTGCTTTAATCTTACAGATGTTCACAATGCATCAATGGATTTTACTAGTCTATGTATGTATTTACACTGAATACAAATTAGTCAATTCTTAAGGTTCAGTCTTTGCTTAAGAGAAAAGGGCAGATGAGAGCAGCGCACAGGTGGCCATCAGCAGAAGTGATACATGGCTTCTGCATTGCCATTGATTAGCAGTACAACAATGAGAACACATCTCCCATCACCGAATCTCAAAAGTACTTTAGAGAAGAATCACACGGAACTAACTGTTTTACAGATGCGGAAACCAATGCACATTAATGTCAGCATCTTGCCTAAGCAAAAATTAACTTCTGGCATTGGAGTTGGTGTATGTTACCAGCTATGGACCCCAAAAATACAGGTTTCTGCACATAAGCCTGTTTCAACGCCCTTTGGCACTGGCTTTCTAAATATTAGCCACTCTGTCAGATCACAGCATTTTCTTCTGAGCACTGACCCGTTCTAACATCAAGATAAATGCCTACACTTACTTGACGTGTACCACTTCCCTCGTGAAAGGACTATGCCTCGACAGCAGCAACTGCTGTCGCACACAATACCGTGTCAGGCAAAGCGGAGGAAGAAGGTGGTGCTTGACCGCTTCCGCTTCATGATCAGTCCCCATCTCTCCCAGGAGAAGGCGTTGAAATTAGATTATTTTTTATGAGCACCTTTTCAGAGTAGCTAATTGTACCATGTATTAGAGTTTGGGCAGTATCTTGCTTGGGGAGGTCATAGAATAAAGACCAAAATCAGCCGTGAATTTCAGTAATAATTAAAGATATCTGGATGAATCCTGCTGTCTCTCTCTCCTTGGCTACTGTGGAACCATTCTTTGTCATTCTGCAGTACTGGATGGTGGAAAATATAATTCACCTTACAGGCTTATTTTGAATGGAAAAACTTATTTTAACCTCCTTTCCTTTCCCATTTTTAAAAGGAGATGCCAGAATTCACATAAGCTCATAGCCATTAATTCTTCTCCTCAGACAATGAATTCCTTTGACTATAAAAAAACTATTAAATGTTCTAAACATTATGTTGATTCTACTATTAATGTTAAAGCAAGAAAGCTATGTAACCACATACCTAGTCCTTTTATTCTCAAAACAATTACTGTTCTCAAAAAGCAATTCAATCAGTTCCGATAACGCTATAGTATCACACAGAACAAATTTCTGGTGTGAAGCCTAGTCTTACATACCTATTTGTTACTGCACACATTTCCAAGACAGCGTGGAGCTACACAGTAAAAACTGTGACCAAATTTGAATTGAGTTATGCTGGTGCAAAAGCCAAGCCCACTAACTTGTCCACAGCACACTGCAGCACGGGCTGTTGTCCTGCTTCTGATCTGCTATCACATTAAGCCATCCTTCTAGCCCATGCAACAGTAAAGTTAAATAAGCTGAACACTTTTACTGTTATCTCTACTGCTTCAAAACAAGTTTAGACACCAACTACCCCCTGACTGGACTCAGGGCATTAGTATTTATATGCCACAGAATAAGTTGGGAAAGAAGCATCTCAGCTTAATTTTTATGCTCTTTACCTTGCACTGGCAGAGGGTGCACTCTGTGCCATGCTTAATCCAAGAAGATCCAGTGAAGCGAACGACATTGGTTTCATCCAGACATGTTTTAGTGATGTCATTGCGAATGGTGTCCGCTTGGCAGGGGTCAGTGACACAGCGCGGGCAGCACTCATTCTCGGGGAGGACACTGAATTCACAATCCACCTCTGGGCATGGCAAGGGCCAGCAGTCAACTTCACCTTGCTGTTTACAAATATTACGAGAACAAGAAAAGATTATTAGCTCTGATTTTGTTTCATTACCTATTCATCTGACTCAGCACTATGTTTCCTAGCTGGCTATTTTTATCGACCTGGTCCTACTCAGAAGTCAGTGCAGAGCATACTGACATTCATTGCTTGTGGGAGACACAGCAAGTTGGGTGTTTTCTTCTGCATGTTATTCAGGAAATGTATTAGATTTAACTTATTTCAATACACCCCACATCAAGCTGAAGCTGAAAATTCTCCATGAACTTCATAAAATACAGAATATGCATCTGTCCTTCTGAATTGCTACTTCCACAAGTGACAGAAGTCATAACATGATTGCACTGCAAAAGTGCTTCTAAATCTCCTAATTCCTCTAGTTCTTACTTCTATTCGGACCATTGGTTTGCCATAGAAAACCCTCAAATGTTCAGGTCCAAATGGGCTAGAGTTTATCTTTGCCACCATTATTAACGCATTAATGGACCAAGGGTGTCAAAAGCTACCAACAGCCCAATGCAGCAGGGAACATCAGTGCATTTTCAGTGAAAGGATCTCCACCCACTTATTATACATTTTGGATGTTGTGACCCGAATATCTGAACTTCCAAACTTAATCACACTTTCTGGATGATGGTTTCCATACGGTCAGGGTATGAAAAGGTCAAAGCGGTGACCTGCATTGGGCCAGAATATTCTTAGAAGTTACTGTATGCCTGTGCACAAATCCGAAGATGACTAATTATTCCATCAGTTACTAGAAGCTGGGGCCAGCTTCCCTTCAACTCTGGACAAGGGCCAAAGCTTCAGATATATGGGTCAAAGAAAAGACTTTACAGAAGTCATTAATGCATATTTCTTTTGGAGCAGGTCCATCTCTGACCTCCAACTTACTCAGCTCAGTTGAAACACAGATTGACTAGTCCAGATCTAAGTGGGGTCAAAGAGAACAGCATTTCGTCCTGGGAAAATAGTTTATTCACAAAAACTGTATCTAAGGCTTTGAGAATGATGAGTTCAATATCTCCAGAGTAAAAGCTGAAAAAAAAAAATTGCCAGGGATTTGCCATAGCTCTGAATTTACTCCTCTTGTTGCAGAAAGTATTGTGAAATTACTCTTTCATAAAATTTTCACTGGGGTCAATTTTCCTCTTTTTGAATTACATGATGGTAAGAATGAAAGCAATCTTAAAACCAGTCACTGATCTAGAAATTTCAATTTATTTTTTGTAGTGCTGGACAGTACAAGGAGTAGAAAATATGTTATCACCCCAAAAAAATCCCTGACAACTGAAAGAAAGCAGGCTTTAGTTACAGAAGTTGCATTTTGGAAAAAAAACACAAAACAAAACAAACATCTATTGAGATCCCAAACTGTAGGTTGTTTTGTTTTGTTTATAAGACATTTAATGAAGCACCTGGGAATCTATTTCATAGGATTTTAGCAGCTGTAACACTGAAAGCACAAGGTCTACAGAAAATGGTTTCTGGTTGTTATTCATGACAAGGGAAAGCTTTTAGATGGACTAGGTTTTACATTTGGAGATAACCTGTGATAAAAGCTAGTTGGTTTTATATTGTGATTTTTTTTTCTGTCACAGAAACTTCCTGAGCAGCATTATGCAGAATAGTTTTTGCTTAGACTCTGAAATGCATGCCAAGGAAAAAGATCACAAGCTTTAAAAGATTTTTTTTTTTTTTTCAAAGCTCATTTCACTATTATGAAAAACACATCAAGCCTTTTTTCTGTTACTCAGAATGTCTGAATGAATAAACAAATTTTAATCTATCGGCATCTTTTAAATTATCAACTGTGACAATAAATACATATTTAGAATTTCCTTATACAGCTACATTGGTCTTTGAATGAGTGAACACATCAGCGTTGTTATGTAGATGCCGTATCCAAATGACCTCCACTCTTTGCTAAAACAATCTTCATGATTAAATAATTTCTATTATGTCTATTACGTCAAAATGCATTTTTCACTGAAACTTGACAATACTGACAAATATCCATGAAAACCAGATTTCAATTATACACATACTCCAGAGAAAATTAAATGGATGCTAATGTATGAAAATTAACTATTCACAGATCAGAATATCTCATAACCTTTTTCCCTCCTGTCTCTGCTGCTGTAATCAGGAGCCTTACCAAACAGCGACACTGCTGACAGCTCTGTATCCAGGAGTCACCGCTGTTGTAGGAAAGCTCTCCACTCTGATGTAAACATTGACTGCTGAGCCTTGGGTCACATTCAGGACAGCAAAATAGGTCAACAGTGGGATTTTCACAGTCACAAACCATTCGCCGGCACATCACATATCCACTCTGTTTTTGGAAGACAAGCATACACCTATAGCAGAAATGTGACCAACTCCAGAGGTACTTGTACCAAAATTTGACTTTTCGGCAGGATCCTACGCCACCAGCCACTCACGAGTTTTTCCACTGTACAATATCTTTGTCAAAATATGATTCAAACAGAGGCAGAAACCACAATACAAACTCAGTAACCACCAAAAAGTTCACCTGTTGTCTTATATACATCCTTCATACAACCAGCCTTCAGATAGCTCTCACTTAAATTGATGAAACCCAAGGGTGTCTTTCTCAAGGGTCAAATTTTAATGGATTGCACTAAGCTTATGTCATTCTTATAAGGATGTTAGTTGAGTCCTGCTTTAAAGTTCCAGCTCAGTCTGTCTCGTCTGTAATTATTCACATAAAGAAGATGACAGACAGTCTGAAATTAAATTCATGCCCATGAAACTTGGGCTGCTGAAACGCTCAGGACTTTGTCAGCAGCGTATTGGGCTTTCATTCTCCATCAGCATTTATCTTGGGATCAAGGTTCCCACAGCAAACATTTGAGAGAGCTAAGCTGAATTACTGTGCAGATACAGAACCTACTTCTATTCATAGCCATCTGCTAGAGATACTGGCGTCAGTCTCCAACGCCGATATGTGTCTAGACAGACAGTTTCTTTGCATGAAAATGCCACTGCTCCCACACAGAAAACACAGGTGGCATCTCTGCTAAGAAAATAGCACTATTGTCCTTCTCACAGTATCACGTAATAAACCTCCCATGGAAGTTCTGCTCATAGAGATTGAAGAAAGAAGCTCACCCCAAAACTGTATATAATATATAATTCCATTTTTCTGTAGCACCACACACACACTCGAGAAGGCAGCTAAACCAAGAATTTCGCCTGATTCATGACACTCTTCCCTTCATCCCTACCACCATCATGCAGAAGCAGCTACTTCTAGTTCTACTGACCTGGCATGAGCAGACAGAGCATCTGTCATTTTCCAGCACCCAAATCTGACCATTGTGCTTGATTTTGTCTTCATGGATACAGTCTCCTGTGCAGTTCTTGCCATGGGGACATCGACAGTCATACCCACCATCCAAGTTAAAGCAAATAGTGTCATTGGCACAGCTATGCCTTCCAGTTCCACATTCATCAATGTCTGCAAAAACATGCCACGTAATGCTCTTAGACCACATTCAATTAACAAAAACGTTCTTGCGGCAGTCAATATAAATGATTCCTCGCCATTAAAGCCTTCAGCTGAAAATTAATTTGCACTTCAGCAGAATGGGGAGAAATAACTTACAAGTTCAGAAAAAACATTTTTCAAGTCACATCAAGTTTTAAAACACGATATTTTGAGTTTTCCTATACATCTTTCTAAGTGAATGCATTGAGTAATGTAGGTAGAAAGAAGAAATCACAAGAAACATACAAACAAAAATAATTCTCAGCTCTCTAAAGAGCATTTTTTTTTTTGGCAACCATTCATGAGATGTGCAGCTAAACAAGAAAAGCTGCAGAATCTTGTTTTCAAAACCTTTTGCTGGCTCTGTCTAGCACATTTGAGTTCGTTTGCTGAGAGGTTAATGTGAAAGGTGACGTCTGACCTGTAAGCTCATTTAAGCCAGCACACCATGCTTTAAGTTGCAACATTTATTAGGGTGCACGAACTCGAATATTTCAATTACTCAAGTTGCATTGACATCTATAGCCCTTGTGTCTAGCATAGAAAATAAAGAAAAAAGAAAAATGAGAAAAATGTCTCCAGTGAATAAAGGTAAATGATTTCAAAACAATCATATCTCGAAGAATTCAAGAGTACTTTTAAAGGCCTACTTCATCAAGGTACACACAATTGTTTTGCAAGGGCAAACTAGCAGTACACACTGCCTTCTACTTGAATAATCTTTATTTAGCATTTTCAGCTGTCCATATGGAGAAAACTTATCTGGGAAAAAAGCTTTGAAAGGGCATGAAGTAAACAGCTATATGCAATAAAATGTGGAAAACACTAGAAGAGTAAAGACTAGATCTATGGCAATTGTAAATATCAATACACTGAGTTCAATTCTACATACAATTTCACAGCAGTCTGGCCCAAGCTCTTAACTAGAGTTCATTAAAAAGTAGCATTGTGATACTTAACTGTCCAACAGAACAGTACAAGACAAAATAAGCAATATGGCCATGAATGTATCTGTCACCATCAGCATAAAAACTTAATAAAACACTCAGCTTTGGGTTCAACAATGGAAATGAAGCCTCCAATTCACCTCAAGCACATCCAGTTTAAAGCTAAATAACTCAATTATCATTTCAATTCCAAGTGTGGCTGCAGTAAAAAAAAAAAGTAAACAAGTTACTAACATGAATATGAATTGGGATGAAAAACAGCAGAGAAATTATTAGAATTCCATTAAGCAGCATTGTGGGTTTCCTTCAAATACTGTGTGCAGTAACAGCAGCACCATCTCAAAAAAAAAGCATTGCAAAATTATTGTGGCTTATGGGAAGGATGATGAAATTTCATTTGAGAAGTACTGAAAAGAAATGGATTGTTCATCTCCAAAAGAACATCAGCAAGAAGGGATATAACCAAAAAAATAATGAATACTCCAGAGAAGACGTTGAGAGTTTTTGTTCTCCATATTGCCTAACACACAAGACAAGGGCAGTGAATGAAACTGAAAGACAAGAAACTTAAGTCTGATAAAAGGAAATAATTTTTGGTATAATGCTGACGTGACACTCACTGCCACAGAGTGGTAAGAGGGGGAAAAAAAAAAATAGCTAAAAGTGTATAAAGCAAGCAAGAATATTCATAGAATCGCAGAATGCTTTGGGTTGGAAGGGACCTTGAAGATCACCCAGTTTCCTCCCCTGCCACAGGCAGGAGGATCTTCCACTAGATCAGGCTGCTCAAATTCAATTTGCAATGCTAACATATTTTGGAAGAGAGATTACATTTCATGCATTAGGGCCTATGGTGCCCTTATTTATGTACCCAGCAATCCAGGACAGGCAAATCATCTCAGATCCCCACATCTTCTACCTCGCTATCTTCTGAAGCACCTGGAGAAGGCCACTGTTGCAATAGGGCAGAAGATGCCTGGGATCATGAACCTAATTCAGTGTGGCTGTTCGCGCGGCCCTGAGCAGCTGAAATGTCACAGGCGCATCAGACAGGGAAACCCGCCCGAACAGTAAGGATACCTAATTACTGGAACAGACGGCCCTGCGGAGGCTGTGCAATCTCCAGCCTTGAAAGTTATTAGACAAGAAGCTAACAGGAATGGTTTCAGTGATGCTGGTCTGGGCAGAGCAGAGGGAAGGAAGGGCTGCACCCTCCTTCCTCTATTTTCTCTTAAATCCATATCGAAAGTAATGCAATCCGGCAATTTAAACTCAAGATCTCCAGGTACTCACTCTAACTGGTTTTAAGTCATGCAATAAAGAGAACAAACACTAATCCTATTTAAATACAATGATGAAGATTAAGAGCACAATTCTCTTTATCACTTAAGTAATTTTTAATAAATAACTTTCCGACACTTGTGTTCATTTGTTTAAAACACTGTTTTGTACAAAGCTTTCACATAGCTAGTCTCATAAATGAATAATATCACTTCTCAACAACCTGGCCACTTAACTGAAAGCAGTCATTTTTAATGAGACACTTGGACAAAGTTCAGCTGTCATGAAAGTAAGAGCAATTTCCTTTAAACAACAAATGGCGACCCTATAAACACTGAGTCTGCATTTGGCACTTACGTACAAGTGTATTTCACAACTTTCCCATGAGGAAAAGGCTTCTGGGGTTTGTTTTTCAACATGGTCATGGTTAGTGTACTGTTACTGAAAACTGAGGTTTCATCATTGACTCGGGTATTGAGCCGAGCTTACCCAACATTGAGAATTTATGAAAAATCCCAACCTTGTTTTTTTCAGTTGTTCAAGTCATGAAAATAAATATTCTGATAGGGCAATTTAAATATCCCTGGTCGAAGCAGGAGCTATTTAGGTTTTGATTCTGACCTAATCAGAAACAGCAGTGTGTTTATAACACAGCAAGAGAAACACAAACTTTGCATGCATGAAATTCTCATCTGCATTATGCATCCATATCAAACTCAGGCATTATCTGCAAAGAATTTGCAGACAAATCATCCATACCAAGTAAAACTTTGTTCAGCTTTTTTACTTTGGATTTATAATGGATGGTGAATTATGTTACTGACATTTTGTTTACAGCCATAACCAGCTCTCCAATTTCCATAACCATATGGGCAGGGTATACTGTCCTGCGCATCTTTTGTGTCTGAAAAAGGGAAAGGGGAGGATTACAGGTTGCATATTTCCAGTATATCCAGTCACAGAGACATGTTATTACCTCTCACATATTTAAAACAAAAACAAAACAAAACAAACAAACAAAAAAAAACCCCAAACAACAAATAATTCACTTTAGGCAATTTACAACACACTGCTTAGGAATCAAGCAGCTTGAATGTTATGACATTAGAACATTAAGTCTCAAAAGACTTGGAGGTTTGGCTCAGAAAAAAAATCCCCAAAACCAGAAACAAAATGTAACTAGTTTTCTAGTCCTAATTTGAGGACCAGTTCTTATTTATCTAATCTACATTAAAAATTGCTGCAGCTTTGATCTGGTACACTTTACAGGATTTTCCCTTTCTTACCATCACCCCGGGTACAACTTCATGTTGCAATGACAAAGGAGTACCATGGATGACAAAGTAGTGATACATGTTAAAAATAGCTAGGAGTTAATTGTACCACCAGTAATTTCATACCTACACAGGAAAAATACTGGACTAAAGCTATGCAAAACAGTGACAGTATCTAATATGACTAAACTCCATTTGTAATATTTGAGAGACTGCAAAGGCAGAAAATTCCATAAAAATGGGAATTTCAATTGCCCCATCAGGTTGTGACCCAAGGCTGTATTTAACAGATTTATTGACTGTTTCTTGGAACAGATAGCCAAAGAATTCCAAAGGGACAAAGCACCATTTGCCTTTGGCCCTGAGCAATGTGCAGGCTCTGATCAAAATGTCTCTACTGAACAACTACTTTGTATTGGTGACCAACGGGGACCACAATGTATGCAAGTTCAACATCCTTAAAAGAATTGAAAAGGCTGCAAAAAACCTCTGTGGTAATGCTTTTATTTTAAAAGGGGGAATTATGTTAAAATGATGAAGTTTTAAAGATTAATTAAAACTAGCATCCAAAGGATAAAATGTTTTCAGATAGAAAGAACATTGTTTAAAGATATTATATTATAGATTCAGAGTAAACATATATTATACTAATGAAAAAGGCTTTAAAGAGGGGGATACATTTCATATAACGCACTACTTTTATTCAAAAACTTTTCATGACTTCTCTTGCATGATACATGCTCTTAAAGGAACCATGTGCCATGGAATAAAAGAGGTCATTGACTCACAGACTAATAACAGGTTAATTAGCAAGTAATAAAGGCAGGAATAAATGGTCAGGTTGTGACAAAGTTGTTCCCCAAGAATCTGTTCCAGAATGTGTGCTGCCCAATACATACAGTCATCTGGGGGAATGAAGGAACAGCAAGACAAAAAAGGCTGCTGATAAAAAAGTACTAAAAATGAAAGATTGACAGTAAAATATAGAAATATTTAATGATATTGACTAAGTAAACAATAATATGTCAGATGAGATTCAATTGTAAGGTGCATGGGGAAATATCCATTCAAAAATCAAATCAGTCTTTTAGATCTGTTCTGGAAAGCTATCTTGGAGCTACTGTGGATAGCTCTAAATAATGACAGCTTAATAATATTTTTTGGGGAAAAAAAACACAAATACAATATTGATGTATCTGTAATGACAGATGACAAAACTCACAAGGAACATGAACAAGGCACAATTAGAAAATAATCCGTGTACACCTTGCTAGGTAGTGACAAAGGGCTCAGAGATGCATTCCGATACAGCTGATGGAAAGTTACAACTTTCTCTCCTCTCATGAGCTGTCCAGTATTATGTGCAGGACATTCACATAAACCCCAGAAAGGTCTTCCCTGGACACGGTATCCTAACAGAATCGTTCTGACAGTAGTTAGTGTGTCATCTACAGAAAGTGAAGATGAA